TGGTTACAGAGATCTCTTCTGTCATGTAATTTGGTCAGCAAAGCAGACGTCTAAGAAGTAATGACCTTTGTGATTATGCTCCTTTGAGAAGTTCACCTACATACCCTCAGTTTTCTTCTCTTAAATTATGTTCAACATTCTGAAACCCTGGCAGATTCAAACACCATCTAAACAAAACAAAAACTGCTAGAGAAACATTCCTCTGCTACCCCATCAAAGTCAGTCCTCTCCATGCCCATGTTTAGGTCTGAATAAATAGTATGCTGCAATCCATCAGACAGAAATTTGTTACTGGTAAGAACATAAGGCACACCATAAAAAACTGTCTGTCTCTTGAAAGATTTTGTTGGGGAGGAGGGATGGGGGGTGGGTGGGATATTGGTGGGGTTTTTTTCTCCCCCTCCAAAAAAAGGCAGGAACAGCATTTGCTTTTAGTATTGGAAGTCCTTGCTAACTTGGTAAATGAAGAGTAATGAAAAAATGGTATAGCTGCAGTGGAGGAGCTGGGTATTTTTCTCATCAACAATCCATTATCAGTAAACACATTTGGATTGGAACCAAAGCCCTAAACAAGACTTCTAATGCTGGGGAGTATTTCAGTTAATCACTTATGGGTTTATCCAAATCAAGTCTTTAAAGAGACTACTATTGGTCAAAAAGAAAGTTTTCAATGATCCAAAATAAGATTTCTTTTAATTAGAAAATTATAGAATTTCCAGGGTTTTTGAGGTTTGGATTTTTTTTTTTTAATCAGTGTAGAATCCTTTGTTAAAATTAGATTTTGTACCCAATTATAGCAAAACTATTTACTAAATAGTAGAAAGTAAAGAGGTGGTTTTCTTCTGAATCTGTATATTGAAAAGTAATCTCAGTGGTGAAAATGAGTGTTGTAATAGGTTGGGGTTTTTCCCCAAGACATAAGTCCTTGGTAGGACTTAACAAATAAAACTGAAATTAATTTTTAAAAAAGGGAATGGATCAGGTGTGAACTGATAAAACTTACTGCTTCTTTGACCTTGTAAACTTCCATCAGAATGCATGACACAGCATGAAGTTTGCCTAACAGCAGTAGGTTTGCACATCCTCTTATTTCCTTTACCGGCTCAAACCTAGGTTTTTACATTAATTACTGTTCATTTATTGAATGGAAAACATGCATTTTTTAATTATGTTAGTTGAAATGTTGGCTAGTTGTGAAACCAAGTGCTTGGAATTGGTCCATTTGAGCCACGTGAATCAGCAGTACTGTTTCACAGTTTTTGCATTTTTTTCACTTCACTGTTTCACACTATGATCCTTGCCCAGCAGAAAACCTGATAAAGATAAAAGGCTCCATCTAGTGGGCTAGAATTTTCTATTGAAAGGGAAAAAAAAGGCTCTCATTTTCACTTGATTTTATGCACTTAGAAATACAGCTTTAGATTTTGTTTCATTAAGCTGCCATGTTGTTGTTAATTCTTGCCTTCTGCAGAGCCATTATTTTATATGCAAACCTGTGAAACATTAAGTATTATTCTGAGTCTTGAGCAAGAATCAATAAATTATACTAAATGACTGGGTTCATACAGCAGTTCATCAAAAAAAGTTCTTCCTCCCCACCCCCTTCAAGTTTCAGTATAGAGTAACCAAAGGAAGGTAATTTGTGTATCAGCAAATATTTTAAAGTATTTAAGCTTCTTTCCTACTTAAAACTGACTGGAAACACTCATAGCTTGACCACAGCACTTAATACAATATTTTGGGAGTATTTTTACTCAGGGAACTCTACCCATGTGTTACCTCAGCATTAAATTGTAAGACTTATTTACCTGCAAGTGAGGAAATGTGTGTTTTCTGACAAAACCCAGCCGCTGTGGCCTCTGCTGTGTCTTCCAAAGGCAAACACCAAACTCATCCATCCTGGCATTTGTCTAGGAGCCTGCCTAGTACTGTTGTGTGTCCAGAAGCATCCTGACAGAATCGAGCACCTTTATTTTAGGTACACAACTGATATAGTACAGTAGTACTGGTTTGTTTGTTTTTTTTTTTCCTTTTCTCTTTGCTGGATTTCTGCACTGCATTGCAGTTATGCTTCTAGCCCCTGAACTTGAAATGGCAGGACTCCTCCATTTCCAGTATGAAATTTGGGTGTTACTCTCATGCCAACAAATTCAGCTAGCAGCTGAAACCTCCTTTTCAATTCACTTCAAGCTAGTAACAAGCGTAGGAGCAGGAATAAGTAGAGCAAGCACAGATTTGGCAGAAGAGACACTGAACTACATGTCCTGGCTTTTGTTCAAATGTCCTTCCTTTTAAAGCAGTAGAGCCTGGCAAGATCAGTTCCTCCTGTGCAGCTTCCAGCAAGGGGCAGACAGTGCATGCATTGCAGTAATGCACTACACCCAAGTTTACTATAGCCAGCATTCATATCCAACACTGGAAAATGTGTCTCCTGTGCAAATCACTAAATAGAGCTTACTAAGTTGTTTTGGACTCTTTTGACCACAGGTAGATCTTCCTTTGTATTAGGTCACTTAATAGCAAATCCAGAGGATTTTTACTTTGGTAGCAATGCATGATTTGGCAATTCTGATAGGTTACACAGACTTGATCTTCCAGAACAATCCTCCCCAGCTGCAGCTGTTGTATCCTCCATGGAAATGTTTTTTCTGAGCTGCCAGTGGGAAAGAGCAGTCATTTGGCTTGTTTTACAAGCTAAAGTAAAGGTTAGTATTAGAGCTCTTACTCTGAACCTTTCTGTGAGCAAGGACTACCACTGAACTGCGTAGTTCTAGAGTGCCTTTGAGGAAGTTGATAGGTCTGCAACATGCAAACAGTGCTATCTCAGAAAGGGAAGAAATGAAAGGCAGAACTTATAAACTGCATGGTTTGCTATTTGTTACGAGTAATGCCACTTGGTTTCTAATGTACACAAACACCTACTTCACATGCAATAGAAGAAAATATGCAAGACCCTTAATTCAAAGTTGTTAAATAGTATTACTTTTAACTGCTGGCCTCTGTTCTAGAACTGTTCATGTTTTAAAAGCTTCTAGGCTTGTTGCTGAGCTAAAGCAAAAGTTTGGAACTACAGTAAGATTCTCTGTTTTACCTTACATACCTTTTCTAGCACTAGTAACTTGAACTGATTCTGATGAAATACAAATTTCCAGATGTGAAACTCTGAGGATTATTCAACACACTACTTTTGTAATAACCTGCTGTCAACTCAAACTGTTAATTTTAGGGATTAATGTACTGCCTCTTCAGGTCATTGAAAAATCTTATACAAGCCTTCTAACTAGGTAATGTTTATCCAGGTTAAATTTATTCAGCTATTTTTTTGTTCTTTGTGGGAGTAGTGATCTTTCAAATCAAATGCACTGATGTCCTTTTATTGCTTTAGAGAACCACTCAGTCTCTCCCTTACTTTTCACAGCTAACCAGGTGCTGAAGTTTGGAACACTCGTCAGTACTTCCAACACCTATGACAACTCCGGGATTGTGACTATCGAGACAGACAAACCTTTGCTGTGGACAATGGCTATCAAGACATAAGAACAGCTACAGCTGCCTTTTCTGATCTGATACAACTCAAATTACTACAAAATTTCACTGAATTAAGACAGTAAAGCTGCTGCAAGGTATAAGCAGGCACTGATTTTGTGTATTGAATGAAAAACAAGTCTGGAATAAAAGTCACTTGAGATTGAATCAAAATTACTTGCAGTAATAGAGTACTTCATTCTGGTAAGTCACACTACTTAATCAGAAGATGCATGAGCAGTTACTCAGTACAACCACAAACCAAAATGAATGTAAAGAAACTGCTGCTGCTGATGTGGTTAGTTCAGGCTACTTTTACAAAGTATTTTATTCCAATACTAAGCTATTTTTCCTGTCCTGCCAAAAGGAATTACAGTACCAAGTTGCACATAGTATAACTGTATGACAAGATGATAGCACCAAGATTAACTAATCTCGTTTTTCTGTCCTGGTTTGCAACATATGTAGGTGCTGGTGAAGATTTCTCAAGGATAATAATTGAACTTTTCTACTTAGGAAGCAAGTTAGTGTACTGAAGAAGATTCAGTTTTGCTGTAATACCAGTATCAGATGTCCCAGTATGAAGTGCTTTTTAAGTCCTGCAACAGAAGTACCATTGTACCTTCTGCAAATACCAAATGCTTACAGTAAGATTTTTGAAGTGAATTAAATATCTTAATCTCAATCTGAGGAAGAAGAACATACCTATCATAGTTTTTGCAGGCTTAGTTCTTAAAACCAAAATATGCAATAATTTAAAATAATGTAAACTTCCAGGTCAACATACAGGGGCCAATACAATTATATGTACAGAACAGGAGCCAAAATTGGTATATATGCTATCCAGCAGTGTGAGCAAGTTGTGGATTTGCTGAAGGACAGCTCAGTGTCTCTGAGAACTAAATTACCCTCAAATGGTATATATCTCAGCAATCAGTTATGTTTGGGTTTGTTAATTATGCCATCAGAATAAGGACTGGCAATGCAATTTCTTTGTTTGACATGAGATTTTTTTCCTATAACCTAGCATGACTTCCAAATGCAGAAAGGAATTAGTGATAATTATGGTGATTCCAGAAATGAGTGACAGGAATTCCCATACACTTTTACACCACTTGAAAGAATACAGAAAGGCTGTTTTCTTGCAGTCTGCTTTTGCTAGAACAATGCTGTTCCTTTGTAAACAGCTCCTGAAGAGAGGTCATACAGCTGTCCCCCATGGAAGCTTTCTGTATTTGCCTGGAGAAAACCTTAGGCAACCACATTAGAATGCAACACTGACCTAGCTTCAAGCAGGACATTGGACTAGAGATCTTCCAAGCTTCCTTCCCACCTGAATGATTCTGCTATGGTTAAAAGAAGTAACAAAACAAGTACAGCACACAACTACTATTACTGAAAGAAAAAAACCAAAGTAAGCCGGCAGACAGGTATGATCACACACACTTTAAAAAAGTAATAAGATGACAAGAATGTTTGAAAACGCAAACTGAGCTTGTTTTATATCAAACAAATTAAAGCTGTGAAATCATTGCAGCAGGTGTCACAACTGTCTTCTTCATGATGAACATTCAGCCACCTCTGTTGAGAGAACAAAGTAATTAGTTTCAACTAATGAAGTGTGATCAAGTGATCCCACCTAAAGTCTTACTTAACCTCCCACCACTGCCGTGTTAAGACAACCATTACAGCTTATCTCCCATTTTCAAACACTCCTTGCCTAGATGACCACTCTTACAGGTATAAAGAAGTCACATAGTGTGGACACAGAATGGTCTTTAACCTCTCCCAGTGCTGGAGAGGGGATCACATTAGCTTTGGAGAATATGGTACTGTTAGTATGTCAGTACCCTGATGCCAGTCAACCTGAAGTTCAAATTTTTCATTCGTTCCAAAAGGGATTTTACAGGATGCAGTTACACATAAAACATGTTTCAAATGTATCTAGCACTCAGTAAATGAAACAAGACCAACTTTGTTCTGTGCCCTGTCATCCTACAGCATACCCACTCAGTTTTCTTTACCTTACCATCCATCCATTTACTTTGAATACCCAAACTATAAACTGGAAAGAGTAAGAGCATTTAAGATCCAAATAAGGTAAATGTTCTGTGGTCAAACATACACTAAGGAACTGGAAATCAAAATATGCAACATTCAGTTTTGAAGCAGAATACTCAGAAAAAAAACGTGAGAACTATGGATCTAATACTTTGCAGCATGCAGAATTAACATCAAATTCATTAATATTGTTCATTAAGTCCTTTGAATCAAGTAATATTTGTCACGTTACACTAACGTGTGAAATGCACAGACTAAAACAACATGGGTCCCATGGGGCTCACTCATGTCCTCTGTTTAAAACTGAACAGGTAAAAATTTAGTGAAACTGAAGGCCATGTTCACTTACACAATTATATTGTTGATTGGGATATGGATCAATTTGACAAAGAAACCAATAAATCCCATTATCGCAAAGCCTATTGCTGTTGCCATGGCAATCTTCTGGAACTCTGCAAAATAACAAAAAAAAATTTTGTTAGGATGTTTTCATGTACGCGCACTGCAGAGACCAAAGGAGAGATCTCTTTTTACAGAGCCATGTTAATACTGGAAACATGTCAAAATCTGCAAAGATGCTGAGAAACAAATCCACTTTTATAGAAGACAGATGAGATTTTCAGAGAGAAGATGCAGATTTCCACAAAGTATGGCTGATCTCAATCTTTTTTAAATAAGCAGAATCAAAAATACCCACAATGACAATTCACAGAACACTTATCCCATTATGTTTCCTTTACATCCCTACAAACCCTGAAAGTAATCTCTAATACAGCATCAAAAACCAGAAAATCTGTATTTATGTCTGTCACAGGAGGACAGCACTATAAGACCCCACAAAAATTGAATACTTGGGATATTTTCAATTACTTTAGGACAGCAACTATGAAGCTGACAAAGAAGGCCAACAGCCCCTCAGAAACCTGCCAGTCTGACAAGGAATGAAGTTCCTTATGGATCTCAATAGCAAACTTAAGTCACAGACCTGTTCACTCTGGGCATGTGAATAAAGCACTGTAACTTTCAGAGGACCAGTTGCATTCTGGTTTTAGTTACCACTTCTCTCCAGAGCCTCTCTAGTCCAAAACCTCCTCTTCCATACTACCAGAGACAAAATTGTTCCTGTCCCAGTCAGGCAATGACTGACAACTGTGGAGCACTGAATTTCAGCTACTTAACCTCTCTCCTAAAGTGAGTTTTAGTACCACTCACACACCTACATACAAGTGTTTATTATAGCCAGAACCTTAAACACACAGAGATTTAGACACCTAAAGCTCAAGTTTAAATCTCATATTGGCAGCTGAGAAACATCCACAGCAAACAAATCATCAGAAGTGACGTATGGAAAGACACATGCTAAGATACAAGGACAAAATAAGGATTGTGTTCTGGTTAATTGTGTGCTTTACCTTTCCTGTCAGGCTTGGTGCATCTTTTAACCAGTCGTATGGAATCTTTTACAAACTGACGGCTGGGTTCCACAAATTGCATTACCTGATCCATGATTGCCTGCAAAGACATATACATTTAGTATTGATGGTTCCACATATATACTGAAAACCAGAATTTTTAAATTACATTAGTAACAGTAACCTACAAAATTTGTTAAAGGTTTTAGATAACCTAAAGTGTTACATTCCCACCTAAGATACTTCCACTTTGCAGGAAACGAAGACACTGTTTCAGTAAATAAACATGAGGGCCTATTTCTGACTCCAAAAGAAAAAAATATGGAAAACTGTGCCTTTCAGCCCAAAGAGGGAAACAGCCCCATCACAGTTGGGCTTTCAGCTCACGTCCTACGCCGTATTTCTGAGAACACCGCCAAAGGCGTCTAAATAGACAAAAGTCGCCGGTTTGAGGAGACCCCCACGCCAAAAGCTGCCGGGCACGGAGGGAGATCGCTGTGGCCGAGCCTTATTCTCACAGCAGGCGTGTGCCGGCATTGCCACCGCACGCAGGACACCCACCGGAGGGATCTGCTCCCACTAATCCATACGGATCCCCTGGTGGGAGCCTCCCGGTGTGATGCCGGCCCCTCTCGCGTCCCCTTCCCCCTCTCCCCGGCCGAGGTCTCCCTGACTGCCGCAGTCCCGGCAATCCCCCATCCCTGGCCCCATCCCAATCCCGTCTCTCTCCCAGGGCCGGGGAACACCCGGACCCCCCGAGCCGCCCTCACCGCCGGCCGAGGGACACGTCGCACTGAGCGGCGGAGCGCGTGACGTCACCACAGCGGATGGGGCGGGTTTGGGGGGGAAATTGAAGGGTTTTGAGGGCGGGATTGCACTTGGATTTTTTTTTCCCTTCCGGTTTCCGGGGCCTGTCGCTCCTCCCACCTGGCCGGCGGGGGCGGGCACGGCCGTGAGGGCCGGTCCGTCCCGGCGGCGCCTCTGCGGCTTCTGGCAGCGCCTCTTCCCGTGCCCTTGGAGCCTTGGGATCCCAGGGCGTCCTAGCGGGAAATAAAGGGGAGAAGGTGCCACTGTTGCCCCAAGCAAACAGGGACAAGGATGAGAGGACGTAGTCTTAAGCTGTGCCACGGGAGGTTTAAGTTGGACATTAGGAGGAATTTCCTCATAGAAAGGGTGATTAGATATTGGAACGGGCTGCCCAGGGAACTGGTGGAGTCGCTGTCACTGGAGGTGTTTAAGGAAAGAGTGGATGTGGCACTCAGTGCCATGGAATAGTTGTCAAGGTGGTGTTAGGGCATGGGTTGGACTCGCTGTCTCAGAGGTCTTTTCCTAACTAATTGATTCTCTGGATATGCCTGTAACAAATGCTCTTCTGTGAAAAGATGGAAAGAAAAAAAAAAAAACAAAACCACAAAAAAACCCCAAAACAGTGTGAAACTTGGTTTTCAGGAATGCTGGGGCCATTGTGAAGTAAGGGAGTTCATCACCTTTGAAAACACAGGATTTTTCTGAAGTGTGCAGTCTGAGTCCACCACTCAAAGGCAGGGAAGCTCCGTACATTTCAGCACCACAGTGTAGCGTGGTACACTTCCTTGCATTACGGGGAAAAGAGGCTGTCACTGCCTAAAGGGAGCGCTTCCCTGCTGCTTCATCTTGTAACAGATAAAGGAAGAACAAAGACGAAATGGATTTACTGTTTTTATCCTTACTTTGCTTTTGATGTTATAGATGTTTCCCAAGACCTCTGTTTCTAGTTGACTCCCCCTCTGAGTTTATGTTAAGTCTCCAAAGCTTATTAATTATTCATCAGACTGTGGGGCCTCTGCAGCCAGTTTAGCAAACGCTTTGCTGATCTCAACTCCCTGTTGCATCTAAGTGTGCACAAAATATTTTCTGGGCTTAAATTTTTCCTGACAGCCTTCACTACAGGTAAAGTACATCACATCACAGTAGGGAATTGCCCGTCATTCCATGGATTTTTTGGCAGCCACCTTCTTTGTATCTGGCCACAGGGTAGGTCCCTCAATATTACTGACCTCTTTCAGAGATGAGCTCTCTAGTTGGCATTGGAGGGTTATTGGTTTGAGGTCCTCTACAGGTTTTCTCCAAAAGTCTGCCTTTGGATTAGATTTTGTTTTGAATTAAAATTCCTGCAGTACTGTTTCTCAGATGGGACTATAATTTTGGTGGCCAAATTCTGCTGGACCTCTTCCATTGGCACACCAGCACAGAAAGATTAGAGTGTCAGTCAGGCCTCCCACAGCATATATGTGTATAATTTGGCTCTTGTTTTTGATGCCAGTCTGCCAGGATGAAAGGAAGAGGAGAGGAAGATCCTTAAGGAAAGCAGCAAAGAGCCTGATAGCCATAGTGCATGGTGTGTGATGGGACAGAGTAGATTGCTGAACCTTTGAATGAGATTCCATATGTAGTGGAATTTTAGTGGGCTTTGTCTTATTTGGGTTTTTTCCCTTCAGTATTACAGCCAGAGACTTTATCAACAGAGGAAACTCACATTTCCAGCTGTGCTGCATGAGGAGCCTTCCTGTGAACCATCGCCACAGTGGATGTAACCAAAAGGCACTGACTGGGAAAAAATTTAACCTGAAAAAAGAAGATGTGTATGAAACAATTCATGACACAGATTTGTGGTTGGATTAGATTTTTGGTTTTAAAAGCATTTGTTGAAATAAAGCTTTGTTCCCCCAAAATTCTCTATTTTAAGTTGTTTTTCCTGGGGAGAAATGTACTGGAGAAACATAGCACATCTTGCATGTCTCAACAATGTGGCTTTGGCATAAGTTTGAACTATGGGTTCTCTAGGGTGGGGTAGAAGGTATCCGTTGTCTTGTCTCAGCTTCCTTCACTCTGCCATGATAAGCTCTTATCTTTGCATGTTTGCAAAGTTTGGACTTCGGCTCCTCAGGAGAGAGGCAGTCCTGGTTTGTGCACAGAAAGCATTGGCGGTTCTCCTAACAGGATTTTCCAGCATTTACAGGGTTTTTAGTGTCCTTGAACTAATACATTACTTAGTCCATGTCAGGAACAACTAACAAACAATGTACAGAAACAATATGTTCCTGTTCTATATATATTTACAAAGAGCCATGTGCACTTACAGAAGATAGGAAAAGGTTTACATCTCCTCAGCATGTGTAATTTTTTTTCATTGAAAGCTAGACTGCTACTAGGGTGTTTTGTTTCTACTTTTTTATGGTTCTTGCCAGGTTGGGGAAGAAAGTGGTGTGCTTGCACAGGTGAATTTTTATGACAGTTTTTCAAGTCTGCTTTTATGGCAACATCTAAGCAGTACATAACCATTCCCTCAACAGTAAAAAAGACCATTTTTATCCTATCCTATCCTATCCTAGCGCGGGGGGGGGGAAGAAGGTTTTCATCCTCTATATGCTCCAAGGATGAAAGGATGAGAGACTTCTTTTGATGAGTTTCACCTTGCATATTTGCACATTTTGGTTTGTAGTTTGTTTTTGTCCTTTTGAGGACATACAAGATAAATATCTGCTTTTAACTATTGGCACATTAGACTGCTCTATGACATTCATCCCCCTGGATCTGGACACTTGGACAATGTGATCAGCCTCCTCTTTAGCCTTTCCCATTCCGTGCTGCCTGTCTGCCTCAGCACAGATCCCACTGCAGCCTGCAAAACATGGTGGGATGCCAGGAGCCAGAGAGCTGCTGGCAACTGCAGCAAACATAATTTTGGGATCAGCTGAGACGAGAAAAGACACAGACTTCAGTATGATAGGCAGCTCAGCCTCTGTATGGTGGGATGGCGTATGTGTGATCCCTAAGTGGTTGTGGGAAAGACAGAGCAGTAGCTCTGTCTGAACAGGTCTCCAAGCCTCTCTGTTCCCCTGTGGTGTATAACTCCGTTTTCCCTACCCTGACTCTGCTCCAGCCCCAGGCAGGTCCTGCTCAGGTTCCCATGAGGCTGGTGCTGCCTGGCTTCAGCAGCAGCTCAATGGCAGGGGCAGCGCTCCACTCTCTGCACCCCAGAGTGGAGAGTCTGCCAGTACCAGTGCCAGTCTGCTTCTCTTGTTTGAAGGATTACTCCCCACATGCTAGAAGAAAGTACTTGCAGTGTTCTTGGCAGATTTCCTGTGGCTGCACAAAAAGTGGTACTTTGGGATATGAAGTCTTGCTGAGCTATCTCCTTCCCATGAAGGAAGATAACTATCTACTCCATCCCAACCCATCCCATGTTGGACAGCAGGAACTGTGCTGCTCCTGTGTAGGAAGAGCCAGAAGGATGAATGGGTGGGCAGGAGGCTCAGCCAGTGCTGTGCCCAGGATCCCTTAAGCCTGCCACTAGGCTTAAGTTCAAATAGTGGAGGAGGCAAGGCAAAATATTGACTTCTTCCCCAGAGGGATTTTTGGGAGGGATGGACTGTGAGAGCAGGAGTAGGATTTGTGGACAATCTGACTTTCCTTTATGAATTTAAGGGTTATCCAGAGGGACAGCAAAAGCGAAGAAAAATGCTAAGAAAAAGACTAAGAAAACAGGGAAGGTGGCCACCTGTGGATTTATGTATGCAAGGAAGGTTGGTCACTGTGGCCAGTGGGCATCTGAGTATGCTCTGGGTCAGAAAACAGCAGAGAACAAAGACCACACAGCAGCAGAGATTTACAGCCCAAACAAGGGAATAATGTAGAGAAGGAAGAAAGAAAGGAGAAAGCAAGGTGATGTTGTGGGAAAGGTTAAGGAACATCCTTGTTGAACAGTGCTGCCTTCTCAGATTTTCAGAGGCATCAGCATGTAGCCCCATTGACTGAAGTCATGCTAATGCTCCCTTGCTTGACAGTCAGTGTTGTTGGATAACTAAATAACTATAAAATTCAGTCTTCAGAAATTGCAAAGATATATGGCACCTTTTATTTTTTAATTCTACATTATCATAAATGTGTTTGATTAATTTATATCTTGAAAAGCTATTGAAATATCTATGTGCTTCTGACATTTAAAAATTAATTTTAGCTTTTCATTCCCCTAAACTATCCAGAGACTCTGTTTGGACTTGATAAGCTCAACTGCTTGATTTACGATAGGAAGATTATTTCCCTCTTCAGTATCTGTACAGACGCAGGGGAAAAACATAAATGGGAAATTAATGGTAAGAAGAAAATGATAGCTCAGATTTGGGGATCAGGAGAAAATGATGGAGTGCTTGTGGTCCACGTCTTGGGGTTTAGCCTCGATAATTACAGAAATGGCACTAGATCACACTTCAATGCTGTGGTTGTGAAAGGGAATGCCTCTAGTCTGAAGCAGCCAACAAGCCCCATCTTTTAATTTGTGCTGCTTAATATTCAATGAAGATGAAATGTGGGATGAGGGAGAAGTGCTGTTAAAATAGATTTTTCCCGGTGTTGAATTTATTGAATATAATTTTAAAGATTACCTTTTTTAAAAAATCCTGAGTTCCATTTTATTTGAAAGAGAGCACTTGGGAGATTTGCGTCTGTATAATGATAGACAAAATAGGAGAGAAACAAGGGCAGTATAATAAAATGACATTGCTAAATGATACATCAGACTAAAAAAATGTCTGAAGCTTTCTATGTAGCAAAAGAAATACAGGGAAGTTAACAGAGGAATAATAATTCCTCCATCAGCTGTTTAGGTCAGAGAGATAAAGAAAAATCAAATGCTTACTAGTTTCTCTGATGCAGTGCTTGTAAAAGTTTGTTTTGTCTTGCTCTAATAAATAGCAGCTGACGATATGGGCCTTGTCCCTTACTTTATAATTTCCACATGAAGATTTTTGTGTGTATTAACAAATAAATCACTGAATCCTTCTTTTAAAAAAAGCTAGTAGTGATTGTGGAAACACTAATTAGCACTTCAGATTAAAAAAGAAAAATGGAAGAAAATTAAAATTGGA